TACTCTCTCTCATATAATGATATGTAGATTACTCACCATGATTAGCATTATGTTGGCGACATGGCTCCTGAAATGAAATGAAATGGGGTTTAACGTACTAATGTTCTGCTCCAAACTGGGCTAATGAAGACGGGCATACGCCATACAGTATGCTATGAAGGAAATTTTGCCTGGACTGCGGCACTCCAACTGGGATTCCAACTGTTAAGGGATCTTTTACGTGCACGCCAATGTGTACACGGGACCTCGGTTTTTCGTCCCATCCAAACGACTAGACAGCTGTCCATGTCAGCCCCTCTGCATCACTGACAAGGGGGAACCACGCCGGAAAATCTGGATGAATGCAGGGATCGAGCCAGCGTCTTACCCACTTAGCCACCGTGACCCCCGACATGGTCAATCTACTGCAGAAATAGTCTTAAAAGCTATTAATGCCTATAGGATAAATACTTACGGAATTATGGTTCATATACAGCTTAAAATACCGTAAGAGTTCGTTTAAGTGCAAAACAATCTATTTACCATGTCTGTAAGTTTCAGTTCAAAATTTTGAGCCGTCTGCATATGATCGTCAAAACACAGGGGCGGATCCAGAGGGGTCCCCCCCCCCCTGCTCAGCTACATGATTTTTTTTTGTAAATCAACACTTTTTATGAGAAAAGTTTCTCGGCCGTGTGCTTTATCCTTTATCGTCAGATGTGGGACAGGATGGGCACTCAAAGCACGAGATAATGATATAGACATTATGTGATATCACAATTAATGCTTTGCATCCATGAAATTGAATCACAATGTCATTGTATTAATTCATAACAAAAATTGACGTCAAACGAGGTTTTGAATTTCTCTGTTTAAAAAGCTCAATGTGTATGTATAAACATGTTCGCCAAAATGACGATAGAGACCATGCGGGAGGGGGGGGATACATTGTCTCAGGAACCTGGCAAACTCCCTCCTGCAAAAAATCCTGGATCCGCCCCTGAAACAGTATGGATTATGTAACTGTTTTGATCGAGTGACCTGATAACCGCGACTAGTCCATTCCGTTCGTAAACTTTGCCGAGAGGTAATTAAAACTGAACAATAACTTTTAGCATTCTATTAGTCAATGGACATCAACAAAAAACTAAACAACGCTAAATAAACTTGTATACGAAAGTACAGTGAACTGTGCAATGACCCAATTATTCTGTACCTATTTTATTATAAAATATGCGCCAACCAGCAGCTAAATCGTCCAAGAGTTATGAGCTAAACACCTGCTACAATTTCAAAAAGACCAGATCATCATAAACGCTTTAAGGGTATAACAATATTTTGTAGCAAGGGGGGATCACTGGTAGAAGTAAATATCGAAAATCGTTGAAGGTCCATAGGATTCTTCTTTTCAATAATACCCTGTCCGTCTTTATTTGCAGAAAAGGATTAACTTATACCCCCATTTCATTTCATTTCAATAATACTCAGTGACAATAACCATAAAATTTCCTCTTGGAGGTGATAATTTTAAAAAAAGTTGAAAATACATAAGATTCTACCTTTCACTATAGTATAGACAATCCATATCAATTTAAGAATGATACTACGAATTTGTGGTCCCTAGTGTGTGTAAATCCCAGACCAATGGGCATAAGGGCATAACAACGACAGTTATCGGAAATCGTTGACTAGTTATCCAGACTAACGCTACTCTAACAAAACTCTCTTACACCGCCAGAAAAGGGCACCGAATGTATCACCCCCTCCCCCAGCGACAATTTCACATTTCTCTCTTTCCATGCAATAATTCACGAATGTCAAGTTACCTATGTGTGCCGTTATCGGCTATACATGTAGGTTTATACTGCAAACAAATATCCGGGGTAAAACTATTATGGCGACAACTGTCAGCTCTTTATCTAATCCCGTCTTCATTAGCCCAGTCGGAGTAGAGCAGTAGGATGTTAAAGGGACAATAACACTCTTGTTGGCTTGACAGCTCCAGAAAATAAAAAAAATAGCCTTATTCTAAGTACTAGATGTGTTAGTGTCTTACCTGTTGTGTAAATTATCCATTAAATCCTATTTTACTTGTCCAGGGGGTTCAAAAATATTTTTAAATCCAAGTCACATTTCAAAAGCTTTATTTCAGGCTTTTCAAATCATTTATTTGAATTTTTCCAATTTTTTAAATTAGGTGTGTTAACATGAAATTTGTATCATCAATTAATTGGAATATTGTAAAATAGTACAATTTGTTGACCAGAATAAAGATTGGGACATATTATTCAGTTACAACAAGAGTGGCATTGAGCCTTTAAACCCCATTTCACTTCACTTTATCTAAATCTTACACAATGCATTTTAAGGTGTTATGGTAGAGAAAATTGTGGGATTGTTTATTTGTCATTTAAAACTTTCAATGTTGCGGTAATTACGATTTCTAACCAAACATGAAACTAATTTTCAGATTTCATTAGCGATTGACCAATCTCGATTTTCTGGACCATGACCTCGACATTTAAGATATCACTGACGAATTGCCTCTGAACCGAATAAGTATTAAACAAGGGAATGTCAAGCCTATGTGGGGACGGACAATTACAAACATTTGAAATATCTGACAATACAATATCGCTTTTATGAACATTAAATCCTTATAAAATACAATATAAAGCCTCAATAAATATTCCAGGGTGAAAGACACACATATCCCCTAAGGCCATACTGGTCTAAAAATCATTAAAATTATTCAGCCCTAACTTATGTTATATAGGGCCATCTAAAATTTACATTCCTTTATAGTAATTTAAGGCCCGCATCTTTATCCTCTTCGACTACTAGTCAGACAATGAATAAATGATAACTCTATAATTTTTGGCTTAACCGTCTAAATTACTAGCTAAAGAACCATTTCTATCACTTCTTTTTATCGAATTTAAACAAGAAAAATTTCTATTGGTCATCTGCTGCATTGCGGCTTTAAACATTCAATCCATTTGCTTGTGTGAAAAGATGTCGCTTTAAGCAGTTTTAATTTCTGTTTACTATTACCATGTTCAAACAACATCCTAGAGGCTAACACGGCGCTAATGCTTTATATTCGGCTAGTGGTGTGTAATTGGATGGACGACATCAGAATATGCCATGTTGATTAAAACCATATCGATCTTTTACACTCTCCAAACAAGACTCTTCATTCGGATCTTTTTAGAATACCCGTTAACGACGGAAATAGGCCATCGCGTTATCTGTATCAAGTTCTATTTTACTTAACCAACCAGGAATTATCCAGACAATGGATGATTTTAATGATTGTTATCCGTGGATCAAACTGAAACGAAGGTCTGGAAGTGGATGTCTACAATTGACCACAGAGAATTATTAATTCATAAGTTTACGTCATTCGTATACAATGAATGATGCTCAAATTACAACAAAATTACAACAAAAGAATCTCCAGTTTTCTACCCGTTTTACATATCTTGGCTGTCTGATTTTATATCCCAGGTTCGGTAAATACTAGAATTAGCTTAGCGTCCGATGTAAGATGTGGATTTTGTTATTTGTAATATGACAGCCGACTTTCAGTAATACCTATATTAGCGATGAGTAATAAATCCCAGTCCTTTAATTAAGCTAAAAGCATTATAGAATGTAACATTGTTTAACGATGGAATTACATTGGGGAGGTTAAAATATGACTGGTTTGAACAAGTTTTGTAAAACTAAATATTTTGATTTAAATTTCTTTGTGGTGCCATCCGTATAAAAGGTTAAAGATTTATCAACACTATAATCTACATTTAATAGGGGGATCACGGTGGCTAGGTGGGTAAGACGCTGACTCGCTAGCCTGGAGGTCGGGTGTTCGATCCTTGCGTTGGCCGAGAAAGCCCATCCAGATTTACCGGCGTGGTTCCCCCTTGTCAGTGATGCAGGACGGAGGGCCTGACAAGGACAGCTGTCTAGTCGTTCGAGTGGGACGAAAAACTGGGGTCCCGTGTACACATTGGCGTGCACGTAAAAGATCCCCCTTGACAGTTTGAATTCGATATAAGAGTAGGCCGTTGTGCCACTGTCCGGTCAAAATTTCCCTCATAGCACACTGTATGGCGTATGCCCGTCTTCATTAGCCCAGTTCGGAGCAGAACTGCAGGACGTTAAACCCCACTTCATTTCATTTCATTGTATTAGATATAATATCCGCATAATTATGTCTGAAGGGTACACTGACATCGGTATTCCAATATCCGTTCGTTCGGTGCTTGATAATGAAACAGAATGCAAATAATTGTATCCCATTGCTACTTTGGTTTTCAAGTTCCACGGTGTAACCTGGTGGGGCCAACGCAGCAAGAAGTGTGAGTTAATCATCTACTCCAACCCTGTTTCCGATATGAACTGGGTGCGTTATCAAGAAACAGATTTTTGAGCGCATGTATCAGTTTGAGTGAGATCAAATTGGACTAAAACTAATTTTGTGTTTCCGATATGAACTGGGCGCGTATGAACATATTTTTGAGCGCATGTATCAATTGAGTGCAATAAAATTGGACAAAAACTAATTTTATGTTTGTCAGATGTGCAACATCTAGTGGCGTAGGAACTGCAGATTTCGCATGAGGAGGAACAGGATTTGGGTGGCACAAAAGCCGAATATTTATATCGTTAGGTTGATGTACCGAAAGAGTTTGGTCTATGTGGAACCTGCTATAAGTGTGGCGAAAAAACTCAAGTGAGCGCAGATATTTTAAACCCATGATGCCAAAGGAGTTATGCACTTCACTTGACAGCTGCATCAGCTGTACCGCATACAGTTTAGACTTGATAATAAATTATTACTATGATCTCACCGATAGCCGTTGCTGTGAATAGTTTTATTTAACGTCACTAATAATCGACAGGTTTCGAAGCAGACGGGATATCCATCATTTATTCGGCCTAGTGGAGATTATTCATCGCCTTGCAAAATAAATGATAGTAGTTTGCTAATGTATTTCATTCGTTTATATTTTCAGATCTAGAAAGTTGCCGCCTTTGGGGAAACAGAATGCTACCACGATGCAGTTTCGTACTACGATATGTATTTGTGTTGGTTATATTTGCAGCTACCATTTTGATGTTGACGCAAGTTAACACAGCACCGCCAAGAAAATCCGATAATCTGAGATTACCAATCGAATTAGAGCTACGGAGTACCAAATCCATGCCAACGACATTATCAATCAACCATGGCGTGCATAATGTGACCGAGTCTAAAGTTCTTGTTAACCAGACACATTTTGATAATCATCCATTTCATTATATATTAAACCCAACCACCATATGTCACAGCGACAATATCTATGTGCTAATATATGTCCATACGGCACCGGGAAATTTTAAAAAGAGAGTAAGCATACGTGAAACGTGGGGTTCTCAACAGTTTTTAAATAAATTTAGCTCAAGGATAGTGTTCCTAATGGGTCGTACAATGCAAAAAGACACAATGTTGGCCATTACCATGGAGTCCAACCAATATGGCGATATCGTTCAAGAAGATTATATAGACAGTTATAGAAATTTAACTCATAAAGCAAACTGTGCCTTAAGATGGGTGACAATATACTGTAGCAATGCGAAACTAATACTCAAAACGGATGATGATATCATGGTGAATATGTACCATCTGCTCAAATATATTCACGAAAAACTCGAAACGAAATCTCAACCCATAAAAAATTTACTTTTATGCAACAAATGGAAACGAATGCATGTAATACGTGAAAAACGATCCAAATGGTATGTCTCAAAAGAGGAATTTCCCTATGATTTTTTTCCTGCGTATTGTTCTGGGTCAGCATTTGTTATGTCTGCTGACGTCGTACAAAAAATGGAACTGGTTTCACGAAAGATGCCATTTTTTTGGATCGATGACTATTACCTCACTGGAATGGTATTTAATACTTTACAAATAAAACACACTGAATTTAATAAAGCATACGTTCTTAACCAGTACGTGGCTTTAAATCGTTACGCAAACGACACTACAAATTTTCTTGTATTTTATCATACAGGGAAAATGAGTACTTTTTACGCTTTGTGGAAAATGATACAATTGGACCATAATAATTTATTGCATAACTCAAAGATCAACACCAGTTCAACATAACCCTATTGATTTATCAACGCCCCAAATGTTTATTTATAATAGTTAGACCGTGAACAAAACACACAAAGTCAAGGATTTTTGTTCGTGCAGCTAAACCGCCAGCGTGATGAATGAATCCCAATGTTAATAACAACGACAGAAGCCACGAACAAAACCCAACGGATGAGACGAAACTGCCATGGCGATGATGGGTAAACAAAGCAATTTGTTGTAGGTAGTGGGTGTTTATTTACGCTGCTGCGGAATTTTACTTAGCTTAATGATAAAGAATCAATGTTATTGTTGATTTAAAATATTAGTTAAAGGTACACCCATCATGCGGTGAAATTTTATTTTTCTAAGCAATTTTTTACGATGTGAACTACTTTTTAAAAAAGCGAAAGATATGTAATAACAAACAACTTAGCGAAATGTTAGTGGATTAAAGGATATAGCTAATTGTTTATATCCAGATATCAATAATTTGTCGTTCCGTTACAAAAAGCCAGATTAATTGAAACAACATTTAACATACGTAATAAAACTTGTACTTTGGAGATAAACACTTGCTGTTTCGAATTTAGATGGGGTTTATTGCCCATCTATGCTTCTTGAACACTGAAAAAGAACTTGTGTTGAAACAACACAAACTTGTGTTATTTTCAACACAAGTTAGGTGTCTCTATTTAACAACACAATCTTGTGTTAAATGTTGAAACAACACAAAACTTGTGTTAAATGTTGAAACAACACAAAACTTATGTTAAATGTTGAAACAACACAAAACTTGTGTTAAATGTTGAAACAACACAAAACTTGTGTGAAAATCTACACATTATTTGTGTTGAAATTTCTGAAACTTGTTTGTGTTGAAATTTCTGAAACTTGTTTGTGTTGAAATTTCTTAAACTTGTGTTGAAATTTCTGAAACTTGTGTTGAAATTTCTGAAACTCGTGTTGTTTCGTACAAACTTGTGTATAACAAAAACTTGTGTTGTATTTTACCAATTTATATCCAGTATAGCAACCTTTCGAATGCAACCCCTTCCAATCGTTCTGTTTAAACTGTAATTATTGATAAATGACATAATAATTTTGTTTGTTAAATTATTATTTATTCAATAAATGATATGAAAAAATAAATTAATGCCTAATTAATACCAATACAGACATCTCGAAGGTTAATAAACAAAGTTAATTCCAATACTAATAAAATTGTGTTATACAATGAAAAAATACCCCCCCCCCATTCCCAATTATTAAATAAAAAGTAGCTATTTAAATTGAAAAATAAAGCACCGAGACATTTGGAATATTAATCAACAAAGTTAATTTCAATACTAATAAAATTGTGTTCAATAATAACAATATCCCCCCACCCCTCAAAAAAAGCTATTTAATTTTTTTTTACAATTAACCTTAAAAAGAACTGAGAATATAATATATATGTTCACAATATCCCAACCCCATGGTCCCAAAACATACATTTTAAATATATCTAAATTTAATATCAACCAAACCAAGCACTAAAGACATTAATAATGCACTAAATTGAAATACTTTTAAGAAAAAATAGTCCCTTTAACAGATTAGGAATTCAAAATTTTCTACAGTATATGAATGGGAACTAATAGATAAAGCACAGGCAAATAATTATAGATAGATAAAATAAATATAGCATAAAAATCAAACAAAATGGAGAAAATTAAAAATTTGTAAAACAAAAATTGATTAATTAATAAAACCATTTTATATAAAAGAGGCATTAACATTCGAAATGTTCACTAAATGTTTAAAAATAAAGGTTGATTTCATCCTACAATAATACATTTTTATAATTATCGAATGTTACTATTAGTTATTGATGATCCCTCTATATTATTTCAAGTTTTCAGGCCAAATCTTTAGTGTTTAGGATTACACTGCATTCTATATAATGAAACAATTTTAGAGATGGTTTGGTATTTGACATTAAAAACAAAAATGTGATTAAAAAGGCAATGGTGACATATAACTTTTGGGTTTCCACAATAAGATCTGTAAAAGAATTTGATGACTTTATATTCAGAATTTAGAGTTGTTTTCTTTCTTTGGTATTAATATTCACAAAATAGATATAATTATCCAAGGATGTTCAAGTGATTATTATAAATACACTTATCGACAAATGGGGTTTTGATGTGGATTTAACTTGGTACACCAGTCATGGGTATAGAGTTATTTAGATGGCAGAATAAAAGTAAAATAACTCATTGAGCAGGGGGCGGGGGAGTTGAAAAGAGCATAATTTAACAATATATTATATTATTTTGAGACTCATATGTATGACTACATGCGAATGCAAGAGGGGGGGGGGTATTTTAGTCAGGTAGCATTATTGCTTACTCATGTACACCAAAAACACGTCATCTCGCCTAAACAGATGTTTTCCGCCAAAACGCTTCAACTTGATTGATTGCCATGTTTTTGGTGTATATTTATATCTTTTCTTGGGCGCCGAATCGAACTACGGCTTTTAAAATGTTCAAAAATCGACGTAAATTGATTTTTTCAACGATAGTTGGTATACAACGATGAGCACATGAGTGAGTAGACTGTGGGAAGGTTACGACAACTCATTTCCAGGCGCCATTTTGGGTCCCAATTATGACGTCATAAAAGCTATGACGTCATGGCTTCATACAGGTTTACATACCAAAATTTGTTTTTTTCTTGCAGTATTAGACGTTGAGGGATAATATAACCTTTTACCCTAAAAAAAATGCAAAAGAAACCAATGCAGTTTGGTTCAGTGATAAATATATCAAACAAAATCATACCCAAAATCGGGGAATTTTCTGAGATCGATATCTCGTAATCAGTGTGTTTTACTATTTACTCGTTGGATTATAAATGATTTCTTTTTAAATTCCTCAAACACAGAGTGGTTATGAAAGCGAAATGTGCCGAAAAATCGAATTTGACAAACGTCAAATTAAAAAAAAGAAGTATTTTTTATATGGTGCCGGGCGTTTCTTTCATAATGGCCGCCAAATTTGGTAATATTATTATTATTATTACAGCATATTTATAGCGCGCCCTTTCATAAAACATGTTCAGGGGCACTTTACAAAGTGACAATGTAATCATAAATAAACAACAAGATTATGGACATGTTAACAATTGTATACAGAGTCAGTTAAAAGCCTCATTAAATAAATGTGATTTAAGTTGTTTTTTAAAAGAATATAGAGATGTACAACATCTTAAACTAAATGGTAGATTATCCCATAAAACAGGTGTTTGATAACTAAAAGAGACTAGTTGAACAGTTTTGGGCTTTAAAAATAGTTTATCTGATGTACGTAATGTTCGACCATTATATCGTGGTTATGTACGCGAAATGTGCGGAAATCGAATTTGACAAACATCAATTAAAGAAATGTGTTTTCCATGTGGTGCCGGGCATTTCTTTTAAAAGGGCTACCGAATTTGATAATACATGTATAAGGCAATTTAACAAAAAAAAAACATAAATTTGGTAGACTAAAAGGGCATCTCTTAAGATACATAAGATATGACTTTTCCAATGTCTTTTATATGGTTTTCGATGTCTCTGAATTTGAAGATACATTTTGAAAATACAAAATATCAGCAACACCAATTGGCGGATATTAAATTAATCGTCATTTTTCCTGTTGGATATTAGATAGTGTCTCTTAAGCATGATGTACACTGTAGTTCGATGTACCCTGTAGTTCAGATACAGTCTCCAAACCGTGTTTACACTGACTGTAGTTTGGGTGTAGTTCGTCAAATGAAGATGAATTTTACGATACAAAAAAATGAATATATTGTAAACGCGCTTTAAATATCTGAATGCGATAGACTTCGTGATAAAAAATTCAAGGTACATTGTATCACTGGCAATAAAAAGATCCAATTTTAGTTTTTAGTTACACACTGTTAACCACCAATAGATGTTTTAATGACAATAAATCATAAAATGTATTCAGCTCGACGTAAGACATAAATAGATACAGTTGGTTTAATTTGAATAGAAGTTTTAATTATCTATGCTGCATATATGCATATATCACCTTGATGTTCATATCGTCTTACGTATTTGTCAACATCAAGGTTAGTGCGACCCATTTGTGACAATTTCTAGTTCCCAAATATTAGCGATTTAGCTCCTTTAAAAGCGAATGCAAGTTAAATATGTTTAATCAGAGGCGGATTCAATGGGGGGCGCGAGGGGCGCCCCCCCCTTTTTTACGGCTGAAAGTGCCTTTTCTCAGACTCAAATATGTCCGTTCCCAACCCGTTGTAGGGATCCCAAATGACTCGAACCATCGACTCAAACACACCAGTCTGGGAAATAGCTCTTGGAATGGCTACAGATGCAAGGAAATGACGGATAATTTTCTTGGGGACCCCCCCCCCCTCAGCGGCAAGCCCCGTCTCCGCGGTCAATGCCTTCATTTTGCAGCGCCCCCCCCCCCCTTTTCAAAATTCCTAGATCCGCCCCTGGTTTAATAGTACTTTTATCTAGTGTATCTTTTATTTTGATTTTTCTTATAGAATAAGGCTATATAACAATAATGTGCGCTTCTTGTTATATAATACTAATAATAGTATGTTCAGCTATACTTTTCGTTTAAAAAATGTACGTTTTATGTCCTATATACACTTATTCGCTGAAATCTATGACATCCAACAATATAATAGGTCATATAAATAGATAATAAGTTTGCATGACGTCATATGAAATTCCTGGCTTCACAGTTGTCGCAACTTTATCTATACACGGCGTTGCGTCGACCAACCATGCAATGTGAAGTAGATGTCAATATGGTTATGTGCATAGGCGTACGAGCTGGGGGGGGGGGGGGGCTGGGAACCAAATGCTGGGAAAATTTGGGCACACAATTGTACTTTGTAAAAGTTGTATAAAAAAATATTGTGTTCTTGAATGTTTCCAATTTAACAGCGAATTTATTATTATTATGTAACATATTAAGAACCTAACTACATTTTTGGGGCACCAACCACCACCGCCCCCCAGTCTAAAATTTCCCCGTACGCCTACGGTTATGTGTAAGAATATTCAGTTCAATATATTCACGATGTATGATTTTATTCATACTTCAATTTTAGTGAGTTACTTCTGCAACGTTTTTAGAAAAAATTGCTATTAATTTGGCCAGTACTGTAATAGCAAGTGTATAAATATTTTCTGTTCAGTCTGTACACAGTAACATATCTCAGAACCATATTATCATTTCTGCCCAAGGCTCCCTGTGATTTATAGTTAGCAGTGATACAAGGCAATCACCAATTTTCCATGCTCTTGGCCTGAAGAAATAAAATAATAAAAGTCAAGTTTTTATTATTATGCAAGTGGAAAAATACAATTCTTCATGGTATGATTTGAATAAATACAACTGATTTGAAGTTTGAATTATTATTTGTCTAAGATGACTGGGCATTTACAAATTGAAATAGCTACTCTTCATCAAGAAAATACATGAATATTTTTCCCAATTCACCTGGATTTTATTGTAGGTCTTTGTACGTGAAATAGCTTTATTTAACGTCCGCTTCCACCGAAGTGATATTGCAGAAAATTAACAAATTCGGATCCCCTTTTAAAGGAATTAGACTACACTATCGCTGGATTGTATTATATTCAAAATGGCGCCCAGAACACAAAACAAACATTGCAATTCAGGGCGGACTGGTGTCGAGGTTATATCCTAAGAATGATTTTTTGAATATTTAATCAAACAGAAACACAATTATGCACATGCAGTTATGATATAATATTAATTTAGCTTACCTCAAATACCTCGAAATATACTGTTTGGTCAGTTTGTCCGCCCGACACATTTCTATTAGTCACACATCCTTCGGCCAATTAAAATGGACGTATATTTTGTTTTAACCGAAACGAAAAATTTGCGTTATAAATACATTGTATTAAAAAATACCAAAATCACAAACCTGATATTCTTATTTTCTGAACAAACTTTTTTCACAACAATATCACTTTTTTCGATACTAATGCTTAATAATACAGTTAACATTTGCAGTACCACAGGGTTTAATACCGCAAAATTACTTCAATAAATATTTCTTTCTTTGTTTTAAGAGTAATTCATTTTAATTGGTCATTTACAGGTAAGAATAAATTTCCAATTTCGATTAATGAACCAATTAAATTAAATAAAAAGATTAAATCGACTATTTCCACGCCCATTCAAACATTTTTTTTAAAACGTAGATATAACACAATTGTTATTGTCTTTGATGTGTCAAGTTTATTGGGGCGATATCAATCAGACACTTCCAAATGCAGACATTGTAATAACCTGTCTCTGTATATTGTCTTAGACAAGATGTGAAAATAAACAAAGAGTAGAATCAGAATAATCTTTTATTATATCTAATTAAATAAATAGTTTATAATTAGATAATAATTGACTAAAACTTTGATCTCTTTATATCAGTATACTGTTATAAAATATGTTGTTTTAAAAGAGCTATTAAATGCATCGCACGATACATACATTGCGATTTCTACTTAATGTTTGTAATAATTAATATATCCTTTTAGATAATTAGAAATATTAAAAAATAAATCAAGTGAATTACTCGACATTCAAATTCAGGAAGAGTGGTTTTACATATAGGCTAGGCCAGATCCCTAATCCAGTTCCCCAATCCCATTCAGATTTTCTCAATAAATAAAAAACATAATGTGATAAAGGAACATAATAAATGTTATCTTTAATGTCGACGTAATTAATTATATGGAAAAAAAAACCACATAAGATTTTATAAATGTACACAAGTTTGTGTTAAGACATTGAAAAGAACACAAACTTTTGTCATTGCAATGCAATACAACACAAACATGTGTTAAATATTTTTAACACAAGTTCTTGTGTTGAGATCCAACACAAGGGTTTTTTCAGTGAACACGAGACGCGATTCAAATTTCCGATAAAAATAATGAGAAATATTTTTAAGCCAAAGTGATACATTCAACCATATGGGATCCCATTTTTCTTATACTAGATCATTTATTTCTTTTAGATTCATTAATAAAATTTCACAATGATTAGGTGTGTGGACATTCCATTTATGTTTGTATTAATTAAATATTTTGTAATTGACGATGTCAAGGACTGAACCTTGTCGACCAATGATTACTTATATATTGTAAACCATGTTAGTGGGTTTGGATGTATCATTTTAAATTTCAGTATTATTCAAGCTTATCATGTGAAAACTTTAGGGAATCGTTAGTTTTAAATGACACGCCATATTTGATGTGGGTCGAAAATCTTCTGTTCAATTTTATTGGATTTTATATATGTTGATTTCTTTTGTGGCACAACACTCTAACTCCATTTAAACATTTACGTTCATAGATGGAAAATAAAATTTTTATTTTGATCTAAATCAAAAGAGGTTTATATCCCTAGCTAATTTAAGATCTCTTATGAGATGGTTGGGTTTTAAATATAAACCATTGTGGTACCGATATTTAATATATCACATCGCTGCCCCTTTATTTTATCATTACCCCCTTTTTCTGACAAATTCCATCAAAATTGAAGTTCCTCAAATTTTTGCACATTTTACCATGTTATTTTATTTTGTCATTTGCACTTATGTGATTATTTTATTACTAATATTCGACCTGTTTTACATTCTTTGTTTTGTTTTTTGTTTTTATTTTGAAATTCAAAATAAATCCGGACGTTTATTTTTGGCAGTATTGTTTAAGTGTTTCTTCTTTGGCCATTGGATAATGTTTATAATGGCACATATTATGTCAGACCAACAAGTGCCTTAAGAGCACAGACGATGCAAGGCGAAGTTCCCGAGTGTTGCCGACTTGGATGGCCGTCGGACAACTTTGATGCTGGTGTGGAACTGAAATTCTTTTAAAACATTAAAGATTTATTTATTGAGTAAATGTAAGACCCTAATTATGATTCTGTCGAATGAAAAACCCACCTGATACTACATTGTCATGGATACGCATGGATACGTACTTTGTTACTTTATGGACTAATTTGAATTCACGTAAGATCCTTGGTAAGAATAATATACTGAAGGACCACGTTTTTTTAAAGATAAAAAATATGACTACCAGTTTTTGTTTATAAGGGGCTGGTTCGCTAACCAGGTGGTCCTTAGTTCGTTCGTGGTGTGGGTTCCCCTTGCCAGTGATGGAGGGCATGCCAACGAACAGCTTCAAGTCTAGTCGATAAAAAACCGAAGTTCTAAGTACTCATCGGTTTGCCAGTAAAAGAAAACTACAAAACCCAGAAGCCAAAGGGTGTTTGTATGCATAAAATGGTGTCCCAGGTGTTGCACTATTAGAATCAGGTGAGTAACTTAGGGACTCTTTTATGCATGCAAATACCCCTTGACTCCAGGACTAACAGGGTTTGAATTTGAAATAAAAGTCGACCGTAATGCCGTTGTCACCGGAATATTTCCCTCATAGCATGTCTTTACTTGCCCGGATGGAGTAAAAAAGTAGGATGCTAAAGCCCATTACAATTCATATTCAGAACTGTCCTCTTTCAGTAACGAAAGCTACAACAAGACGTTGCCTTCCGATTCGCATCTAAACAGACATATGCTGCTATAGCTAATCATGTACAACATATTAAACATTGTGTAAAACATCTGAACATATATCAATTTCCATTCTAATATACAGACTGTTCCTATTTATTTTACAATGCTTTGTACTACAGTTTCTGTATTCATATCGATTTAATCGAATACATGATATCAATAGATTAAGGGATCAGCCTGTTTTTGTTATTATATTAATTCGGTCTGCACGATATTATATTTAGAGATGGTAAAATACATGTATTCAGATCACAATATCGTTGCCGCCAATATATCTGGCCTTCGACATATTTATTACAAGAAAACAAAGATATATTGATAACCACGGAACGAAATAATAGCAAAACTTTTATAGCCATGACATTATGATAAAGCATAAAATACATTCAAATAGTCATAATCTGGGATTAGATATGGAACTGGTGTGGGCTGTAGCAAAATAATTAGAGTCGAAGGGATAACTCCGGTTAAAGGGACGATTAGTGGCGCCAAAGACTCCCGGTCACAGGAACAGATGAGCAGGTAATGAGTGGCCAACCTTTTATAAACGATGCGTTAATTCGTTCACATACGAATTCAGATCCGCCATACAACTCGAGTACCCCCGTCTACTTCTGGTAAAAATATGTTAATTAAACATTTACAGCACGATAACATTCGATATACCACACTTTATTAAATTCTTAAAATCACAAGGATGTAATGCGTCACTTCTAATCATCCCATGTGCAACGTTTGACGCATGCGCCGGAGGTAGGCCATCTCTGGGTTCGATGAAATGAATATCCGTAAAGGCTTGTCGCACAAAATAAACATTACACATTATACCAAATTTAAGATTACAAAACCGTCCCCACCACCCCCGCCGATATCTTACAATACGCAAAGCCACTGATCGTCATTTGCGTTATTTTAAATCCTTCAGCATTTACAAACATTTCATGTTACATTCATTATGTAGTCAGTTAAAAACATGCAATGCCAGCTTACAAACAAACTTTTTATTCAAATGAGCCTTGTTCGGCATTTGTTTATATAAATTATAATTTGTTATTCCTCCAATCACTAAATAGGTCAAATTTTAATCACCCATGCGATCATATATCAAATATTGGTTTCTGTAGCCAACTCTTATAGTAACTATAATACTATCTAATAGTAAATGCAAGACAACACCACAAACATTGGTTTCTATAGGCAACTCTTATAGCAGCTCTAATAATATCTAAGGACAGCACTACAAATAAACAAACACCCATAAAACAAAGCGCGAACACATACAATGTACTCAGACTTTGCAAGTTACAAGAAATCAAGAGAATTGGGGGGGGGGGGGGCGTGATAGGATAAATTGCGCTGCATAGTCCTGGACCTGTAATAGCACAGCCTTCTCTGATAATAAAAACAAACACACAAAAAGTGAACAATCCACGGAAAAGATAGACTATTTCCCAAATGTTGTATTCTTCTGTTATTTAACTTGATCGGCAATGGAATCTCAATGTGAGTTCATTGAAGAACATAATGAAATCTCAGTGTGGGTGCATTGAAGACATGTCTATCTAAATGTGCCCGTGCATACAATAGTTGACCCGCCTGTACATCTAATTACACCCCTGCATAATAGATGACACCCTGTCCATCTCAATACGCACCTGCATACAATAGAATGATGACCACCACCTGTTCACCTAAATACGCCCAGGCATAATAGATGGTCCCCTGTTCATCTAAATATACCACTGCAAAATACAATTATGGATGATATTTGGAAGAAGAAATGTACCACCACTTTTCAGTGTAGTTTAAAATGTTTTAGGCATAATAAACTAGTTTAACAATTCAATGAGCACATAGAAGCTGTTATTTAAATCGAACAACGTTGTAAGTAAGCTTTAAGATGTATTTGAACCCTTCGCACTCTCAAACTGCATTCCCCTAACCGAAACTGGACACATTTGGCCATGGATCACCGAACCCTAATTTAAAGTCATTTACAGGCATTTCAACATTGACACCTGGCAGTTGAGAGGGCGCCACTACATTTTACTGGCAAATTCTTTAACGATAGACATCAATTCATTAGGTGAAGCATTACATTTCTTTTTGTGGATAACGTTTTGTTTTGACATACGAAGCATTGTCTCGTGTGGTGATGGTTGTGATGAAAGCTTGTTTAAACGATTGAGTAAATCATTTGGTGATAAATCAAGTGAAACTGACGATGGATCTATCCATGAATTAACAGTATCGGCAAACTTAGCATTATGTGCTGTGCCTGCTAGTAATAATGGAACACCGGGATCTCCTAATTTGTCAGCCACTGTTTTACAAACTGCTGTGTGGGGATCTAATAAATAACCTGAAAACAAAAGAAAAACAAAATTGTCGCCAGATAGCTATATCGATTCTATAACCCTTTCAATTCCAGGCAAACTATTGCACAGCATAATGAATAAAATTCGCCAGAAAATAAACTTTCAGTTCATGAATGGAAATTGTCGCTTTTATATTCAGATAGTTAGTCGGAATGACTTCTAACAATTAGTAATTAGTAATTAAAACGAAATATAACAAACATTTCTTGTAGGCGACAATTACAGACAGCGTCGTGGTCACTTATGATTAGCATAAGGAACCAGATCCCACCAGGGCCCCAGAAAACAATATTGGGCTGTGTGGAGCATGCTAGTGTCGGTTCCTAGCATACCTGACCGGTTCAATATTAGGCTGTGTGGAACATGCTAGAGTCGATTTGTAGCAAATCTAACCCATAGTATATGTTTGACACTGGTTAAGCATTATGATTATGATTATAATGTTGAAAACTGCATTTGAAACCGGATAATTTTTTGCCATTTACGAGGGTCTGGAAAAACTCAAGGGGGCGCAAAATCTCTAAACCATGACGCAAAGCTCTTTATTGAGTCCCTCTCACTTAGCCCCTGATTACAGGATGTCATGGTGTCAAATTTTCCTGCGTGTCGAATACTGTTGTTTTTCTTAATGGATAGGGCAAAATGTCTTGACTATTAGTTTAATATTTCTAGTCCCGCACACAATGACTTACCCGTTCTTTTGTATGTTTCTATTAATGTCGATTTACATTCTTGCTCTGTGCACGACCCGGCTGTAAAAATTGTCTGAAGATTGGCCAGAATCTAAATATGAATAAATAATATTCATTAAAAATTAATAACAAATCATCACATAAATATGACATGTCAAGCTAGATATTAATAAATATAATATTTTTAATAGTATATACTAATGTCAACAATATTCTAATGCTACCTATAACAATGTAAATAAATTAAAATAGGTTAACGTCTTACATTTCTGTACAAACTGGGATAATGAAGAGGGGCACACGCCATTTTCGTGTGCTACGGGGGACAATTTGTCCAGACTGCGGCTTTACAGTCTAATCTAACAAATATTTCGATTTCGAACTATCAGAAGATCTTTCGAGTGTTGCCAATGGTATACTCGGATTAGATGACTTTCCTTGCCAGACCCTTCGACAATCAAGCCCTTACTACCTACTCTAAATGTCAAGCCAAAAAGTCCGATAGATAGGATTTTCGTTAATTAAGGATCGCACAATTTCATGGAGTTATGATGTCTTAAAGGAGGCAATTCCATAACTCAATATCATCCACAGTCTTCGACATTGCAGACAATGTTTAAATCAATATTGATGTTGTTATCTTACCGTGTAAAGATGGGCTTCTAATATCCAATATTTAAGACAATATGAAAATTTTAAAATTGGCACACGAATCGCGTGCGAGAATGCTTTGAAGCGCCCTTTGTAATGAAGCGACTCGATATACGAGTCTAAACATACCCAGCTGGATAATACTACCGGGGTAAACTAGAAAATCCAGACGGTAAAGACTGCCATTCAATTTGTACTGTACGTGTATTTCGCCGAACATAACTTATTATATAGATTAGAAATTACAGTAAAAACAGAAACGATTGAATGCAAATCAGTTTATGTACATTCACATTACATTATTATATGTGTTGCAAACAATTTTTGTCCATTTCTAGGTGCCAAAGAATAGAGATTTAGCTCCTATAAGGATTCTCACAATAAGCACGTTTCAAAGTTTACATGCCTTATCGTAAAAACAGGTGAATACTTACATGTTTGGAAATCTTGAATATCCCATCTTGATCCAGATTATTGTACATATTACTGACTAGACTACCGTCGTTATCACTAACATGATGAAGAAGTCTTTCCAGATTAGATGATTTCAGAATATCAATGGCAGGCGAGGCTGTCCTCAGTAGTTGTCTTTTTCTCAAATCGTACAGGCCAGTTTGAAAGAACTCTGTTAATACATCGTTGGAGTTTGAGGCACAAATCAGTTTTCTGATGGGGAAACCCATCATCTAAAATAATTAAAAACAGTTGAAGCATTAACCTATAAACACGACATACGGTACAACTGAAACCTGTAGATCTAGCAGAGACAAGCATGTTACATTGTTCAACAGACTTAAGATGAAAATTTGTAACATATAAAACTATTGTTTGAATTACTGGTGCCCTCACAATATTATAATATTAAAGCTATAGCCTCATGATATTTTTAGTTTTAGAGGTAAAGATAACATCTCAGGTCTTTGCCCGTGACAAAAACAAAATTTACTACTAATTTACATATTACTGTACCTTAACATAATATGCAGCTAAAATATTTCCAAAGTTACCAGTTGGAACACAAATGTCAATTTCTTGGCCATGGGAAATAACTCCAGATTTGACAAGATCCAAATAACCAGAGGCGTGATAGACTATTTGTGGCAGAAGACGTCCCCAGTTGAGAGAGTTGGCTGCACTGCAAGCAATAATTCATTTGTACAGATTAGTAAAAGGGGCAAAAATAGATAAACGCCCTGGCTTAATATCATTGTATAATTTTAAAAGACAATGTAACAAACGAACACAAAGAAAATAATGGTGTTCTTGGTGGATAGAAGAGCTGCGGGCCTAGCGACGACGGAGTGAGCTCCCTTGCAATCTAAACGTCTAAAACTCAAGTTTCGGCGAGAGTTTGTGGAAGCAGCTATTATACACACCTGGTATTAAAAGCCCACCATGATCATGCCCCATAAAAATTCACCTTTGTCTTTTACAGATCGACGTGGTTTATAAGAATATCGTAAACATTATGTCTACTCGTAAAGTGCATGCTCTATGCGTTAAAATTCATTTAAACCTGTGGCCAAAGGTGGAGAAACGACCGCAAGTAGACTCGGTATTAAGGTGCCATAATTAGAAAAATGTACAAGTTATTCATCAAAGAATAATACAAATACTGTCGAAGCATTAAACTATAAACATGACGTACAATACAACTGAAACCTGTACATCGAGCAGAATAGCATGTTACAGTGATCAACAATATTTGATGGTCACCATAAAGCAGGCAAATATCCCTGTTTCAGAAAATTAAACGATGTGGTCAAAACGCCCAAATGGCACATCCACACTTCAAAAACGTCTCAGAGACGTTAATGATGTTAAATATTTGATATTGATACACCGCGCTTTGTTAATAAGAATCCGTATGGCTCCACTGTCGCTTTGTTAATAAGTCTTAAGATTTACAGATACAGATGAAAGAAATCCAAGTTATCATGTGGCAAAGTTTGAAAAACACACTCAAAATAAAATAAAATCTTGAAGAACACAGCGACACACTTCCTATGATACAACCCCGAAAACATCATTCTTACATTTTTACTTCGTGATCTGAAGTACAAGATGAAAGTGTATCGACTGACGAGTACCATTGTCAAAACGAAGCGGTTGCTCGAGATTCTTTCATTGAGTATTAATATTTGTGCTATGTCGATGTCAAATTCAATTTTCCCGACCTCAATGCTATCGCGGCATTGCCGTATTAGAGTTTATCTTGAATTGTCGGGGCATAGGATGGCATTCGTGTAAAGACTCGTGATGGACTGGGGGCTTCTTTTTATCGTGAAAGGGGAAACGTCTCTCGAGAACGCACCATAGCTTGTGGGTTAAGGAACATGAATGTAGCAGTCATCTGCGCTGACTACAGGGTATGAGGTTATTATTTTCAGACTTCAATGGTTAGCATATATGGTTATATCTCTTCTTTCTTCGACAGATTGTTTTCCTTGACGTCATGGCCATGGTGCGGTTGGGCGTGGATTTATTTCATACCATTTTGTGTGAAATATGTGTGTGTGTGTTTGTGGGGCCGTCGACGAACAATTTTCCAGTTAAGAGAATACATCATCTGAACAGACAAGCAAGCAAACATGTAAACAAACATAAAACGTATTTTAGCATACCTTAATTTAACATTATAATTATTCAGGAGTTCTGCTGAGAAGTGGTCATCTCTGAAAATATGCTTTACAGTTGATTGGCAGAAATCAAAATCACTATCGACTCCTAAAAATATTTAAAATAAAACCAAATATATCCAATACATGTACACAATTTACATCAATCGATGACTTATATGAATAAATTAATTAATTTAATTAGTTGTATTAGTTGGAAAGGTTACGATAAAATCCAGAGTAGTCAAGTTCAATGAATATTTGTAAATACTTACCAACAACACTTATGTTATTGCCCACCATACTTGTCATCTGATGTTTCTGTAATTCACTTATTCCATTTAATGGATAAAATACTATAACACCAGTATCGCTGCCTGAAAATAAAAAGAAGACCCTATAACCCACAGTAACACAAATATCACATATAAAAATTAATAGAAGTAATAGACCAATGTAGATACTAAACTAATACTATAACACAAAACTATCACTGCGTAAAAATAGAAGTAATAGACCAATGTAGATACTAAACTAATACTATACTAAACTAATACTATAACACAAAACTATCACTGCGTAAAAATAGAAGTAATAGACCAATGTAGATACTAAACTAATACTATAACACAAAACTATCACTGCGTAAAATAGAAGTAATAGACCAATATAGATACTAAACTAATACTATAACACAAAACTATCACTGCGTAAAATAGAAGTAATAGACCAATGTAGATACTAAACTAATACTATAACACAAAACTATCACTGCGTAAAATAGAAGTAATAGACCAATGTAGATACTAAACTAATACTATAACACAAAACTATCACTGCGTAACATAGAAGTAATAGACCATCTCAGAGACTAAGCTAATCTAGAACCATAAGTAATAGACTATATCAGAGCCTAAACTAAAACTATAACAACAATATTACTATCTAGAACTATAAGTAATATACCACCCAACTCCAGATACTAAACGAATACTACAACACCAATATTACTATGCAGAACTTTAAGTATTATACCATCCCAGATACTAAACTAATACTCTAACCCCAATATCATTATCTAAAACTATAACTTATATCCCATCTCAGATACTAAACTAATACCCTAACCCCAATATCATTATCTAGAATTATAAGTAATATACCATCCCAGATACTAAACTAATACCCTAACCCCAATATCATTATCTAGAATTATAAGTAATATATCATCCCAGATACTAAACTAATACTCTAACCCCAATATCATTATCTAGAACTATAAGTAATATACCATATCAGATACTAGACTAACACCAATATCATCATACAAAAAAGACCCTATAATAATACTATAACACCAATATTAGTAACAGACCATCCCCGATACTAAACCTAATACTATAACACCAATATCATTATACAAAAATAGACCCTATAATAATACCATAACACCAATATTAGTAACAGACCATCCCCGATAAACCAATACTTAACACTCAGGGGCAGGATCCAGAAGGGGTACCCCCCCCCCCCCCCCGGCCTGCACAGCGACATAACAGTTGTAAATGTAAAGGATATAGGCACAATGAATTATTCCACCTTAAATAGGGTTCTCGGTTTTTCAGGGCCACCAAAGATTAAAACTATTACACTAATATCAATGAGCCTTTATACAAATGGATGTAATAGATAAACTATTTTAACGATTACTACCATGACATAGAACAAATCAGCTATCTTAAAACATATATCAATACTATACCACCAATATCATATTATGATTACCTAGAAATAGAAGTGATAGATCTTAGTATTGGTATACTAATAACAGAACATCAATATTACAAGCTCGAAATCCATATTAATAATAGTAAGTGCAGGAGAACAGCTCTATACACAAAACAAAACCGATAAGACAAACCTGTGGACAGGACAAACTACACAGACACTGCAAGAAACAAACAACAAATATCAAATAACAACAATAATATTACCCAGAAATAGACCAGAAGATCCCAGAATCAAGAGAGAGAGAGAGAGAGAGAGAGAGAGAGAGAGAGAAATTGGGTTTAACGTCCACTCGACACAAACAAGGTCATTTCGGGACTAACATATGGTTTCATTTTATTTCAATAATTCGCTTGCGCGCAGGGGTCTTTAGCAGTGGGAGGAAACCGGAGGACCCGGAGAAAACCCAAGAGGTTGGACAGGCGACCCTACTCCTTGTCACGTACAACCGGGGATTCGAATCCACGCCAGTTGACTCAATGACAGGCCTTATGATACAGCACGCACGTGCTAACCATTCGACCATCCACCCCCCTCAGAATCAAGAGTACACCTGTAACACCAACATACAAATAACAGACGCTATACACTTATTGTATCACTACGCAGAAATTAAATTAATAGACAAAATATACACGGCATTACATAATATACAAGACAGTCTATATAAATAAAATCAAAGTGTGTATGTATGTATGTATAATTCGCCCCCCCCCCCCCTATATGTGGTATCAAATTAACCTGCATGACCCCGTGAAGGTTTTAATCGATCGAATTTGGGCCCCGGGCGAATTTATGCCCTTGCGAATTGGGCACCTCGGGAATCTGGACCCCGTGCGAAGCCTGGTATCCTGCTAGTTTAAAATAAAAGTAACACGCACAGGATAATGTCGTCAATAATGTAATGTTCTTCAGCATGTATGTAAACGGAATTCCTTTGTCATTCTTTTATGTTCATGTTCTATTTAGGGAGCGGGGTTTCAGTTATCCCCCTGTTCCCCAATCCCATTCAGGTATCCGGAATAAATATTGTTTATAAAAAAATATTAATAATATAAAAAACCAAGGCGTGTATTTGTCGATTTTATTTCTGCTGCATTCAGACTTTAGTGTTTATTGTTGAGTTTAAGACTTTTTGTTTGTAATATTCCTGGAAAAAGGTAAGTAATTTGTAAGGAGTCCAATATTGACATTGTCAAATGTGTTAACAATGTGACTTACGGCAACATGTTTATACCATGGATTACTATTTAAACGAAATAATACAAAATTCTACTTATTAATTAATTTGATCAATATCTTTTGTATAAAATCCTCGAAATTCTATAGCCAAAACATTATTTATTATTATACTTTATATGACTTTTATGAAGTGTATTGTAGTAATGACTAAAGCTGGATTAACGTGAATTTAAGGACTGTATAATTTCACCTATTTAGCTTTAAGCAAAATAAGATATATAGGTTAGACGATAGAAAACAATAACACAAAACACGTCTGAATTATTGTAGTACTACGGTCTTTGCGACCATATTGTATCTTTAAGTAATTATTAGATTCACAGTTTGTATAGAAGTCATAAATTAAAATTAAATTTAATTTTAAATTAAAATGATTGAGTGGTTAACACATAAAAAGATGTATAAAACCCCAAAAAGCCGATCCTGGGTGAATCCAGAATATCATGTTTATCACTTGTGTTGGAAAATTCCTATTGTATCATTTGGCTTAGTAACCAATCATTATAATTAAACACGGCATATTTGACCAATTAGATAAACGAACTGTAGCATCTTTGTACCTGATAGATAAACGTCTTAGCGACGGAGATTAAGAAGAATATACACAACGTAAATCCTAGCCAAAAGAAGAGAAGTACAGATATAACCAGAGACAATACTAGACGATCACAAGGCTATTAAAATATGTAGCAGAAGAGAGTATGCGTCACACGTTGTATTTGGGGAGTTTTTGTCTTAGCGGCTTTCCACATCTAACAAGCCACCAATAGCACTGTATAGTATTACATTATTCGAGGTGTCCATATGGTTAACAGATGTACTGTATATGAATATAATGGGATTCGTAAAGAAAATGCCAAGTCGGTATCAAAGCGATGATACCTACTCCAGTTTACTAATGTCAAACTGTGTTACAGTGGCGTTGTTTATAGATCTATAGAATCACTGCTGGTCCCTCTTCAATCCACATCTTTAGGCGATTCCATGATAGGGTTAAATGATTCGGATTTGACAATAATTAACGATATCATATAAATCTTTAAGTTCTTTATATGTATACATGTTTGCATCAAGTCTATAAAAATGTCATCACAAAAAAAACCAACAAAAAAACCAACAACAATATTGAAAGTTGACGATGTTAAACATATTCATAAGACATGTGTTAAATAATGGCAGATGTTATTGATAGTTATCGTGCCACCCACGGTTGTCCAGAATGCCCCCATTAGTCATTACCATAATATAAAATTATAGCTGGCCTGCGTTATGTAATGTCCGTTGTCTTGTAAAGCAATATGTACTGAACGTTTATTCTGGTACATGATGCAATATAGCCAGCTCCATGAATCAAACGTAGATAGTTCAGAGGTCATGAGCGCCTTGGGTTAAGGCTAGAACAAAGGCCATGTAAGTTGGTCTCGAATCCAGTCCAGAGAGCCGAGCTGAAAACAAGGCTGCTTCAAGACCTGGTAACTAAGGGACCTGGTAACTAAGTATTATTCAAGAAGTCTTGTATATGATATGTTTGAAGAAAAATAAAAGTATTATTTAAGGTTTAACCAGAACCGATTCAAAGAACCTAAAAGTGTAACACATGTGATTATAATTAAATAATTAACACAAGTTTAAAATTCTGTAAAAGAAGCCAGAATTTGGAATCTATCAGTAAGTTGGCAAGGAATAAAGCGCTATGGCCTAATATAAACTAAAGGACGCTATATCAAACGAAGTATTGTAAATATTTTTATGTACAGTTTTAATGGAAAAAACCCCAAATTAAACCAAATGACAAATTTAGCTAATGTCAACATGTTTGTTTAATGAACCTACACAGTTAATTGGGTTAGAATGAATCGACATTCAATAAACTCGAGCGGGAGTAATGATTTTATGGCAATTGAAATAAACAGAAGTAGAATATTTGTTGTACTTTTACACAAAGAATAACATCAAAGGGAAAGTGATTTTTGACTTGGGATGACAACTTTTCTTTGTTTAAAAATAAATCTACACACATACAATAAACAACGGTAAGATGTAACCAGAGGTTGAGGCCATAAACATTTGTTATTCTCTACCAAAGAATTACGCAAAACAAAATAAAAATATTTGCGTCACTTTCAATTACAATTTGTTTAAAATGAAAGCGCCTCAATCCCTTTATTGAAATACAAGAAAATCGAGTAAATGTTTGGCATCTCATTACAATAAGCCCCATCCCAACCCCGCCTCGTCTGATTTATAGGATCTGAGAAATGGGAATAACGGTTAGGGTCAGCCATGTTGACACCGGGAGGCGATGGCTTGGTGTGTAAGACACTGGCTCGCTAACCTAGAGGTCTCGTGTTCGACCCCGGTGTTGGCCGAGAAAGTTCATCTGTCTTGGCAAAAGTTCCCCCATAGCACACTTTATGGCGTATGCTCATCTATATACATTAGGCCAGTCGGCGCAGAACAATATGACCTTAAACCCCATTTCATTTAATTGGACGCAATCGAACAGGGTAGGTTGGGTAACCATATTTTGAACCTTCTATAATTATAGAGTCCAACTCACCAGCATATTGTTTGAAACCATCTAATACAGCACCCCCTGTATCTCCAGATGTCGCCACTAATATCAAATATCTGAAACAATGTTTGATTTACTTAAAGATAAAATATATTGGAATATCCAATTAAATTAATCCGTATTAGGATATTTAAATCTCCCAGTTCTATAATATACACCATCTTCTTTCATTTCACGACTGCTGTCTATGTTTATGTCGATTTAAAATATTTGTGGAAAATCTTGCTGATAATTATAAAATTAGAGAGCGGTACATACAGTTGTGCAATAAATCTATTAAACATACATTTATTTTCGTACTGAAATAAACCCATAAAACCTTTTGTTTGTGTGCTTGGGCTGAGTTTCGTGATATGTCAAATGGAAATTATTGGTACTATTTTCTTTAAAACTTTGGCCAATGTACCTTCTGCTCCCATTGACTACAAAGATCACATGCATAATATGTCAACCGGGATATATATATTTTTGTTTAATGGTATACCTGCTATTTTCGCCTTCTTCTTGAATAGCTCTGTTGAAAAGCTGTGGCATCAACTGTAAGGCAAAGTCTTTGAAGGATGCTGTTGGACCATGAAACAATTCCATCATGTATTGGTTCTTTTCAAAAGCCCGAACTGGTGCAACATCTTTGGTTTGAAATATATTTTCGTTATAAGCATTATCTATATAAACTTTTAATTCACCCCCTGCTATTTCTAATGGACTAATCCATTCTTGTAATAACCTCAAAGCCCTTTCCCTGTAGCCCAGATCGACGAGACGCTTTTGTTTGCAGTAAGAGATAACTGGAAGTTCGTCAGCTTTGACTAGAAGCCCACCATCCGGTGCCAATCCCTGTAGCACCGTTTGTAGAAACTGCTGGCGTTTTGCAGGACCAATTTGCCTTGTTGAAATATAGCCTTGATCATTTTCTATACGATCCAAAGATGTCAAAACCCTGTTTAGAATATTTTTGGGTGTTTCTCCCGATTCACACACTACACGTGCATCGTGATGTTTCTCGTAAAAAGAACGTCTGTATTTCAGAATGTCTGGCATACTGATTCCGGCTTCTTGTCCCACAATCCTATTTACTTTCATTTTTTCTAATCGAGATAATATGTCCGTTTCCGGCACATCGAGAAAAATCAGGAGGCCATTTTCTTTAATGTGTTTCATGGACTGCGCGTGCAGCGGATTAGACCCCGACAAACACACAACCGATCCAGAAGACTGGAATTGACAGAGTGCTTTGCCTTCTTCGTCTATAAAGTTTTTACCTCCTATCTCTGTTAGCTGTAAATAACAAAGAATTTAAAATAAAATCAACATCCGCAAACAATATATTTGTTTTTACAAGTTTGTTATTGTCAGTCTGTTAACCAATGTATCCAAGTATTGAGGATATGTTTATTGTAGAAATGGCAAATAAGGTGTCGATGAAGATGAAGTAGAGGTAATATCTACAGTATATAACTGATGTTTACCTTTTGAGATACTGGCATTCTCCATGTTGGTTCCAGAATATCATCGTCGACATCAATAACGGGCCTTTCTAGTTTTTCACCTAGCAGTTTTCCTACAGTTGTTTTACCGCAGCCAGGGCTACCTAGTAAATATATGTTTGACTGCAATGAAAAATATCATGAATATAATTTAGAGATAAAAAAAACAAAAAAACAAAACAAACGACAATTGGGTTAAAACTGGCGAAGAGTTGTCCTGCATCACGTGAAGCGGTATGTCATTTTACAAGTGCAGAAACACCATAATATATTGAAGTTTTAAACCTTGATACATTTAAAATATTGTTGCCGGACAACGACAACCCATATGCTGCTTTTTGAAAGCTAATAAGTAGTACTAGCCGAACAATCCCACGTTTTTTGGATTTGGAAAAGTACAGTTTCATAGAGTGGATATTAGATTCTATTGAATGTCAGCCATGTAACGGGATTGGACTACACTTCGGGAAAGCCCCAGAAGCTATATATAGATTTGTAAAATAGGGATTTGTGAAATATTTACTTATATTCAGTCATATAATGGACGACTATATTTTATGCCCCGATGGAAGTCATTTTTAGGTTCTTCTGTGGACATGCCCCACCAGTGCACACGGTCTAACAAAGTTGGGTGTTGTAAGTGCAAACCCCTTTCAAGTGATGATCACATTCACAGTATCTGGCCATTAGCTCCCGTACTGTAATGCGTTGAATATAGCCATGCACTCATTTATCACCTCCCTTATACATACATAATAAGCAAAACTCGCGATAACTTACCCTTTCAGTATAGTCAAAACGACTGTTACTTGGCCTAGATGTACAAAAAGCCCGTTTATATGACCCATAATGTTTAATCCACACTAAATATCCATGCAGTCTCTGAATAACGGCCATTTGTCGCGAAGACATTGTTTTCGTTGTATGTCTATCCGGTACGACCGCGGTACAACCGTTATACCCGTCGACTTAATCCAATGTTTATACATACACCTTTGACCCTCATAGGACAGGTTGTGTCTGCACTGTTGACACTAGCATAGTATGTTTATAATGGCGAACAGCTGTGTCAAAACAAATTCGATTTTCTATATTGCATACCTGAAAAGTATAATTTTTACACAGATATGTGTACACTTATCTTTTGTGTATATTAAAAGAGTATATGACATTCATTACAATGTCCAGAAGTTTAATCAAGAGAGATTATATTCACAATCTACTTATCAAGATTCAAAGTTACCGTTAGATAACACAACCAAACTGTTGAACATTACATCAGATAAGATAAGAATTTATTGTACCCGAAATATTGCATTAAATAGCCCACACCATGTACACTATATACATGTAAATGTTAGTAAATACAGATCAATAACAGATGATAAAAAGTATAGATCTAGATAGATTGATAGATGTTTATTTCATTGAGATGTCCATTACATGTTTATTTCATTAAAATGTCCATTACATGCATTTATCTTCACATTAATATTTACACCTTAATACATCAACTAAAATACATTTATACAACATACAGATTCATGCATGTATAAACAATATTTCAGATAAAACTCTAAAAGTAGTGGAGAACAATTCTCATAAAATGACCCGTAAAATCCATACCCAAAGAATTACTGGACGTCTCATCAAATCTGAAAACAAATGCCTTGGTATCGATTTTGGTGTTTTAAAGACTATAAAATTTATAGGGAATCCCTGTATTTACTGAGAAAAATAGACAGAAATGAGCTTTACTTAGTTCATCATATATGTTATACTTTAGTACAGTTTAGTACGAACCACAAAATTCATATAAATGTAGTTACACACTTTTATTGCCGTTTGGTTGAAATGAATTTTTTTTTATTTTTCAACTGGAAATTTTATTCTGTATACAAATCTAGCTAAGTAGCTATTTATTTTGAAAATGACATGGTGCAGTTTAATCAAGAAATGAATAACAATACAGTCAGAGGTGATGACTTTATTTCAGGTACTGTACTTAATGTTTTACTAAATCTGACATGACCTGAGCTGTTGGATATACAAACACCTAGATAGGCACACTCATTATCATACTATGGTTTGGAATATGGTACCTTTTATTAATTTGCTTATTCAAATTTAAGACGGGGATATTCTCGGATTTATCTGTGATGGCATGTACCATCCAGAAAGGCTTACTTAGTTTAGAGAATTTTGTAGATCGCATCTGTTAGAGAAATTAAAACCAGATTATTAGCGAAGGAAGAGTTAAAGTTATATATTAATGTTGTCTTGAGTTGGGGCATCATTATCAGTGTTGGTTCAATGAGTTTGGAGTTATTTATGTAAATATTGAAAAGGGTTGGGTTGAGAGCACAGACCTGCTCATGCCCATAGCGTAGAGAATGGAGGAATGATTCCCCATTGGAACGATAATTGATGCATATAAAAAGCCGTTAACCGTTAGAATTCGACGAAGAGTAGACGCAAGCGCCGTTATCCGTTTGGTGCAGAAAAGTAGAAGCTGACGTTATTTCCGAAATATTTCTAAGAATTGAAAACTCCCTACGAATTTGAATTATATAAATATACTATTTTTAGAAAATGAAAAAGCTTAAGTTTCCAAACATTATAATTTGTACAGCCCAATCAATTAAAGCGTAAATAAGAGACTACATGTATAACATAAATATTTTTAGTTTCATAATTTTTTATTTTTACAGTCTAGTTATTCAAAACGTAAATATGACTGTTTCTAGTTTTTGCTATTCCTTTATTTTTTTATCAGGTTAGAAACTTTACATTTTAAAAGCCGTTTACGTGTATAAAACACTGAAACGAATAAAGTCAATACAAATCCTACAGGCATGTCTATTAAATATTTTGTTTTCATGGATATTCGATGAACAATTTGTGTTCTATTTGTTTCAGTAGGCCTATAATGAATATTTTATAAACCAATTCATCAAGACTAGATCAATAGAATACATTAAATGACAGTAAACAATAGCCCACACAAACAAAGAGACGTGCCATCGATGCTTCTGCCAGGTAAATATATTGTCTTTTTGGTGAGCTTCATCAGTTCAGTAGCAAAGAAATTTCAGGATAAAATTAACAAACTTAATATTGGATATCTCTAATTAAACAAACATAATAGAAGTTAAAAGACATTAAATGAAATGGGGTTTATCGTCCCAATTGTTCGCATCAACCGGGATAATGAAGACGGGCATGATATAGTATGCATTGGGCTATGAAGGAGATTTTGCCAGTATAGACCTTGTCTTCCGAGCATTGATCACCCATTAGTAAAAATAAATTATTATTATTCTCTAAATGATTGGAAGTTTTGCAGTGCCAAGATCTTTTAATTGCAAAATTTCAAATTATGATTAATTTAAAGTGAAATGTCTCATTTAAATGTTATTTTACTAGATGACGAGCAGAAATGAAGACAATACTTGATCAATAGAAGGTATTTACTTCCCGTCGATAATCACCTTCTTTGTGAAGGATCAAACAATATTATAAATTATTGATATTACACGTCCTTCAATAGACAGATTTACATTAGCTATTTACATACTCGAATAATAATGACACATTACTATGATTTTCTTAATTTAGGCATGCCTTAAAATAATATTATCCGGTACAATACAATGAACAAAAAATTTAAGTTAATCATAAGCACGCGAACATCTGAAAGTAAATACTCGCCCTAATCCAAACGTGGGGTAACTGACTGTCTTTACTTAAAAGAAAATGATCGACTCCTCATGACTTTGTTCTTGTCATCCTTACCCACCCACCTACAGGCTACCAAATTCGTCCAGAAATTATCCAAAAAAATGACACTGGCTATGCCACGTTCACAATATAACACGCTACCTCCATATTTATGATCAACTACTTGCTTAGGGTCATTCTAATCAGTGAAAAGATCGCTCATTTGTCACTTGCGAAAAGTTTCCGACGCTGCAATACCGGTTTCGAGTGGCCCACAACACCATCAGTGGCGGATTGGGCCATCGGGCGATCGCCCGAAGGGCCGGTCGGACAAAAAATGAAAAAAATAATTTTGTTCAATTCGTCTAAAAAAACTTTTTCTGCTGAACATTAATGTGGGGGGGGGGGTATTGGACCGGTCATGGAGCGATGATGATCATGTTGTATGTGGTCAGTGGCTTTAACGGGCCGCCACGCCATCACTGGAGTCTGGAATGGGCTGGTATAATAGACTTTCTGGGCCGGGTGTTCTGTGTGTTGGCCGGAATTTGGAATCCTGCAATGGGGATTCCGAATTTTATCCGAAAATTTCATCGGATTCACCCCGGCGGGGGGTGGAGCTTCCCGCACCCCCCGTCCGGGCTCCGCGGTCAGTAAAAGGGGCCGCTCCGACACGGGAGTCCGGGCCGGTTCCCGGCCCCAATCCGCCCCTGAACACCATCAGCCTGCTGGTACCCGAGATTTACCGTGCCCCGTGCACCGAAGTCTAACTTCACTAGATTATCACTAGTTTCGCCCGATTCAGATGAAACTCCTTATAAATGTTCAGGTCGAGATCTTGAATGAGGTATCTCCTCCCCCTTCCGGCCTTATACGTAAACTTTGAAATGTGTACAATTTTACAAGTTTAATTATTCAAAACGCCCCAGGTTGACAGTGGTCCAGGTGCGAAATAATGTATGTGGGTTGGAAAGCTAATGTCGAATGAATTTGTAACAGATGGGAATAAGTAGAGGTCCACAAGGGTAAGACGGATATTATTTTTATTCTGATTATCCAGCGTTAAGGATATCTTTTGGCCTTAAAACACAGGCGGTGAAAGTTAAAATGCTGCCGAAAAAACAAAGCAAAATACAGAAATTATAGAGGCGAATGACCGCCGCACTGGCTAATAAATAAATCGTTGTAGCGAAGGTAATGTTTGAGATGGAATAGATTTGTTTCAGAAAGCAGTTTATATCATCACAAAAATAGTAGGTAAATATATGTTTTCATTTTATTGGTAAAGACTTCAACAGAATGATTGATCCCGTTATTGATATCTTACATAAAAAGAACATCGTCATGATCACCTTTACTGAAATCCGAACTTTGTTGTTGGTAAGTTGTCTTTTGTGTTTTCTTATTTCTGAAGTAAGTATTATTATGTATTGATAAAATCAAATTATGTCTAAATATTTTCAAATATTTTCATTTTGAGCAGTTATAGAGTTTATCTCCGCAAATTCCGATTGTTTGTCATTTTTATTTTCCATATTTTTTTTTATTTAACTTCGAGAATGAGATATTTGATTGAAATTTGATAAACTACTGTATATAGCAGAGTTACATAACAAGCTTGTGTTCCGTGGGATTCCGGGAATTTAGTGAATTATGTCCATTTGTTGACTCATCATCAATGACAATTTTATCTTCCGGAATTATTTTAGTTTGGGTTTCGAGGTATTTGACTGAAGATCGACGCACTGCTTTTTATCCCATAAGGCGCCAGTTCGCGTTTCGCGGAATTCCGTAAATTTATGTTATCCGAATTTGTTTGGTTTAAACTTTGAGATATTTGATTAAAATTTAGCACACATAGTAGAGTTATATATTCACAAAAATGTATTTGTAATATCACCTTTTTTAAAAGATGCATGCATTGTAAACAAATAAAAAAAATCGATGTTTGATGAGTCTCAAGCCGATTGAGCTTTTTCATTTAGCATAATATATTTAAAACATTCTCAGCCGAATGAGCTCTGTCATTAATCATTACGTTCTTTTAAAGCGATATACAGAATGTCTTTTATCATCAAATTGGTTCAGCTTATCTTCACCTTCGTATTAATAAGAGGATCTCACGCAGACCAAAGGGATTCTTTATGGAGAAAAACAGGAATAACCGACGTACTGCTATCATTGTCTTCGACTAATGTCACTACAACGAGTGCATCCCGATGTGCAGCTGCATGCCTGTCTTCTCTCGATATGTGCCTGTCCTTTGCTTTTCATAAAGCCGACAAACAATGCTTTTCCT